TTCCAATCCAAAGCATTCTATGATTCTATGACCCACAATACCTTTCTGTCTTCCAAGTTGCTGGAAAAGCATTCGGAAATGACAGAATGTCATCCTGGGATTTTAACATTTTCAGATATCAAGGAACACTGTGTCAGCCATCAGCAGCAAGGTTACAAATACTGGCACAATCCAGTACAAGCTGAACAGTGTGCTGCATCAGACAAAGCACAGCCAACAATTCACTCCTTCCTCCTGCAAGGTAGCCCCATTCTTTGAGTACATTTTGTTTGAGATAAATGAAGGTACAACAGGTATCTTTTGTCCAGGATTTTATCTATTGGTTGGAAATTCCAAGTTGTTGAGATGGTTACTTGATTTTCAGATCCTTCACTCAAGTTAAAAAAAAAAATCTCCTCTACTCTTTCACTCATTCAGTCTTTAACCCACCTTAGCTCACATTTGGATGACTGTGCATATACACCTCAACAGCTGCACACCAAATTTCTAACTTTCCACATGCTGTCAGCAAGGTCTACAGAAAGGTTGAATTTGGATCCCTAAACTCACATACCTGGCCAAACAGTATGTCTTCTCCCCTTCTTCCACAGTCCAAATCCATTGAAATCAGAGCAAATGTGACCACTTCTTATCCTACCCAACATTTCCTTTTATCATCCAGCCTCAGTGGCAATCAGATTGTGGTTTTATAATCTTTCTTGGTCTTTTGCCTCTTCGCTGGCATATGACCTATAGAGGCACAAGTGAGAAGTCATATTTAACTTCTTAACACGTTTAACACTAAACCAGTGAGATGGCACATTGTTTTTCTCAGCTTTTTCCTTGAGCATGGCTTGTGTGTCTCTTCCCATAGAATCGGCTGTGGAGAAAGAGCCGCTCATCACATGGTAACAGCAAGTGCATCGGTACTGACATGAACAGGAATTTCGATGCGCACTGGTGTGGTATGACATAATTTCCTTCCTATTGTTCTCCTGCCTCACTGTTAGCCTTTAAAATTATTTATTTTGAAAATATTTTTATTTACCATTTCACAAAATTGATATAAAGACAAATGCAGCTGAATATCTGTTGTGAACCAGTGAACACTTCCCTAGCTAGATACTTTTTTGGGGACCCAGGATTTTTTCCTCCCAAGGAAATCCTCCACACCAAGGACTAACCTCTTCCCAGCATGATGATAAGAGAGAGGGACCGAGAACCTGGATCCTACCACTTGCATCCCACCATAACACACCAGGCGTAGGCTGTGGGGAGAAGGAGGAAAGAGGGAAGAGGTGGCCTTTACCATGTCACCTATCCACCAAGCTGAGCAGGTGCTTCACTGTGTTGTATGAACTGGTCACCTCAGTCATCCTTTAGTAATGCTTAGCTAGCCAAGATTTCATGGCTCTCAGTGTTTGTTGTCAAGGCTGTATTGTGTTTACTTATTCACATGCACCTTAGTTCTTGACCAGTTTTTAATAGTATGCAGAATAGCTATCTTAAAATATTACCCTATAGATCAGATCCAGCTTCACTCAGTACCGACACTAATGTCTGCTATGACTTCCAGTCATTTCAGTCCATTGCTGAACTGGGAATAAATGTGCTTGTTTACCATCTGTGGTTATCCTATGGAGAAAAACATAAATTTTTTCAGGCACAAAATTATGAAGATGGGTAGTGAACACATAGATTTAAAAGTCATATTCAGTATAAATATGTCATAAAAACAGAACCTGGAGAAGTCTGAAGAAATAACAGCAAAAACCCTATGTGGTTCAGATACTAGTTTCAGGGAAAGGTTATGTAAAGTAACACATTTGACTTGTCAAGCACTTTTGGTGGTGAAAAACTTTTGAAGCAGAGAAATGATTCTCCTTTACATAGAGCAGAAGAATGCAGGTAGGTTAGAAAGTGCTTCTTTAAAGAAGTCTTTGGACAAAATGCATACCTTTCTTAGAGGGCAAAAGCAGAACATCCCCCTTTAGTAACTAGGCAAATATAGCATTTTCAGCCATGCTGTGCTTCTCTCTTAGATGTGGTTGAAAACATAGAAAGGAGAAGCCTCAGCACCTTGCAGGGTTAATGGAGAGAAAAAAAATGAATCTAAGCACCGAAGTCAGGTGCTTCCAATAACTTAAGCAGATTACTGTAAGGATCTCCCTAGGTTTCTGCTCCTTTTAGTTATATAGTCAGTAAAATTCTGAAAAACAAAATTCTGATTTTCTTAATTGGCATAAAAGTATTGCTCATACTGAATAAGATACATCTTTGCTTAGCAACTGACAGCAATGATTGAACAGCTTTGATCCAGAGCATAGGAACTGCAGATGTACTGGTATTATTGATTCCTGGAAGATGGACATCTGTTAAAGTGTCCCAGTGCCCAGGGATAAAGAAAGTCTTCTGGGTACTGAAGTACTCAAGTAAGCTTTATTCCTGCATAAGATTTAAGGATAAAATATTAATTTAAAATACAGATAGTAGCAAAGGGGAAAATTTCCAAAATTATTAAAACATGAAGAGCTGACATTTAGCACTAAATATCCTGGTTGCTTCCAGAAAGTGATTTGGCCTTATTCTCAAGATAGCAAAAATGGTGAATCCCAGTTGTCTCCTTGGTAACTTGTTCCAGTGCCTAGTGTTCTTCATTCTTAAAACCTGGTACATTATTTTCAATTTGATTTGTCTTTCTTCAGTTTCCAATTGGCAGGTGGCTTTCCCCTGAGATAATCACTTAGAACTACCTTTTTTCTGTAGCACTTCTAGATTTTAAGAAGGTATCTCACAATCTTGTTCTTCATGATTTTAAATGGAGTATTTTCATCCTATCCTCTAAGACTTTTTATCCAGTCTTTGAATATTTTTTTTTTTTTCCTTCATCTTATAAATTTTTTTTCCAGACTATAGGAGGTGAGAAATCCTACTAGGTTCACACTGATTTCCTCGCATGGCAGAGTGCACAGTTTCTTGTGTATTAGCATCACACTCTGCTCTGAACAGAAATGCAGAAAGGAAGAAGTGAAGTTAAGGAGTAACGCACACTGCGCACTCTTTTGTTACAGGGAAAGGAGCATCTCCCAACGAGTGTCGGGAGACATACTGTGGACCCTACCCAGAGTCTGAACCTGAAGTGAAAGCAGTGGCTCGCTTTATCAGAGATCACAAAGACATCATTAAAGCTTACATAACCATGCACTCATACTCCCAGTTGGTATTGTTTCCATATTCTTACACTATGGACAGAAGCAAAGACCATGATGAGCTGGTAAGGCTTCCCACCTCCTTAAGTTTCACATTTATTTCAGAACTTCTTACCTTGCTTGGTTAGGCTTGTAATGAGGGAGTCACAGTGCTCTGAAGATAAAGAATTAGGAAATAAGATCTGTCCTGAAGTTTTTAAGAACTTAAAGAAGTCTGGGCTGGTCTAGCACAGCAACCATCTTCTGAAGACTATGGAAAAATGAAAATAATTATTCCAGATTGATAGCACATCATCAACCCCTGATACTTTGAAGCTGCTGCTAAAAGAGCAGAGTCCTGGGTTTGCAGACGCCTTGAAAAGATATTTGTGCAAACTCCTGATCATGCTGTATGGCTTACATATGATTACCTGGGTGTGTAACCAAAAAATATCCTCCACATACCTAAACAATGAGGTATTCTGTTGGACACTTGTTATTTTTATTGAAGCGTTTTGCTAGGTAATATGGAAAAGATTTTATGCTTATAAAGAATTTTACATTCTTGAGCCATCAAATCACACAGTTAAAACTTTCTTAGAAGACAGAGTTCTAAACAGAAAAAGGTAGCTGCTGCTTTTTCCCACTGACCAAAAAACTCTGTGTTTGTCTGGATCTGTAGAAAGTATCCAGGCTAAAATGGGATTTGCTAACACAGAGTAATTAAGCTGTAAGAGTAAGTGGACAGCTTAGTAGTATATTTATTATGTTAAGACATCAAATCCCCTAGAGCAAGGAAATCCGTCTCCTGTACTTCCCGGGCCACTTTTGGTGTTACCTAAGCTCCAAGTGCTGGGGCAAGAAATTCTTCTATTTGCAGCAAGGGTTCCTGCCTAGCAGTAAGAAAAGAGACAAAATCATGTAAAGGAAACCAGAAAGCAGGTTTGCAGGCTTTGCTATATGGGAAAACAGCACATGTCTGAGGTGGACAGGTCACTTCATATGTTACAAGACATAAGGACAGAAAGTAAGAGAGTTTATAAAGATATAGGATTGACATTTGCACACACTGCTGTCATTTTTACTGCTTTTCAATCTTCCATGTCACTTAACATATTTTATTTTTAAAAATCATATTAAAAATTATTTTTAAAAGTAAATGTTGTATAGTTAAGAGGACTGCAAAAAGTACACAGCAAAGCATCCTACTTCATTAGACAAAGACCCAGACAGTCCAATATAGCATTTCCATTGGTAACTAGTGCCAGTGTGTTCAGAAGAAAAAAATTCAGTAATGTAAATACGGAACAAACTAACTCCAAACAACATATATTCTTGTGCTCTCCTGGTTACTGTTTAATCTCCTGAAACAAACTATTTCATATATTGCATTAATAAAAAAATGCAGTCATGAGTGAACAGTAATAATACATTTGTGACTCCTTTCCTGTAAAGCAGAAAGAGATGCAGTAATTCTGGGCATTTAAGTCTTCTTTATGGCTTAAGAGCAGAATTCCCTCAATGAAAATATTTTTCTGCTGTTTTTGTCAATGTTACAAAAATAAACAGTGATTTAAATACTGTGGCGGAAAAGGAAAAATACGAGACAAGCGGGAACAAATGGTTTGATGACACTCTGTTGCCTGAAGTGGGTGGTAACGTCCCATCTATATTTTTTATCCATCTACAGCAGAAACACAGTTTGTAGCATGGGCATACGCTGAAAATTTTAATCACATTCTGTGGGTTTTCTAGAGCCTTTTATATACATATTTAACTAATACAAGATCCAGAGCATAGTGTAAACAAATCCCGACTGAATACATATTAACTCTTATCACAAGGCTATAAAGATGTTTTATTTAATTTCAGGAAAGTCTGGCAAAGAAAGCAGCTAAAGCTATAAAGAGGACAACAAAGAAAACTTATAGACTCGGACCTGGTGCACAGACAATTTGTAAGTATGATTTTTACTACAACAGGCATGAGAGGATATCGTTGCTAGCATAGAAGACAGCTTCTGAACAGAAAATGGAAGTTCTGGTTTCAGGTAACTGTTGTCCCTTTTCCCTTCCTCCCACAGATTTAGCTCCTGGAGGGTCAGATGACTGGGCTTATGATCTTGGCATTAAATATTCTTTTACCATTGAGCTTCGGGACACAGGAACTTACGGATTTCTGCTTCCTCCTCAAGAAATTAAACCAACTTGCTTAGAAGCACTTTCTGCTGTCAAAGAGATAGCTCAACATGTTCTCCAAAATTCATGATGATGAATATAATTTATTTCAGCATGACTGCATTTACTTAGCTCAAATAATATTAATAATAAAAAAAACTTGCTGCTTTATTAAAATTTTTTTTATATAGGCAAAAAAACCCCACCCAAAAAACTGCACCCTCTATACTTCATTTCAGAATACATCAAGTTTTTTTAACTGTATCTATATACCTATACCTACAATGCTAGTTCAGTGTAGCTTCCTGAGGACAGCAACACAGATGGCAACAGTCCTGCAAATACAATTTCCCAGCACTTAATACTCAAATACACATTAAAAAACTGCATGGAAAAAATTACCAGGAGGTGTTGGTCCATTACAATCCCTGTAAGAAAGGCACTCAAACTCTGTAAGGTATCATTTAAAATGTTATTTATTAGAGATAACAGTCTAAGGAGAAAATAGCGTAAATAATCTTAGGTCCCTCTAGATGGTGGGAACCCCAGGTGGTGTAGCACTGAATGGGCCTCCGATTGACATGTGGCATGCTGAGCAGAGCCTATCCATAGAAGAAACCCCTCCATTTCAGTTATTTGAGCTATTACAGGATTTCCTTACAAGAGAACAATCCTATTCATTGTTTCTACTGTCAAACAGGAAGGATGTTCACATGAGAACTTCTTGTGCACCTGTAGATAAAGGCAAGGACACGTAGGTAAACAAATCACTGATACCAAGTGGGAGCTGCCCACAGGCTGCTCTGCTACAATTACCTGGCTAAGTTTATTTATCCTGCAGCCAAGGGTTCGTGCAGCACAACACAGGCCTGGAGGACGGGCTGCACATGCAGCACAGTGCAGGACCAGCCTGGGTCTGTTCAGGTTCACCTGGATCACCAACTCCTCCACATACGTTGTCTCCCGGGCAGGAACAATACAAGTCTAAAGACAAGCTGGCATCACGCTGGTGCACTCGCTAAATGAAAGAATGGTGCTGAAGATGAGACCCAGATGGAGACCCTCACTTGAGGGAAGGGATGCCATCCACAGGGTCCTTCACAGGCCTCAGGACTGGGCCCATGTGAACCTTATGAGGTTCAACAAGGCCAAGTGCAAGGTCCTGCACCTGAGTTGGGGCAATCCCTGGTATCAACACAGGTTCGGGGATGAAGGGACTGAGAGCAGCCTAGCAGAGAAGGACTTGGGGGTACTGGTGGAGAAAAAGCTGGACATGAGCTGGCAGTGTGCACTTGCAGCCCAGAAGGCCAACTGTGTCCTGGGCTGCATCAAAAGCAGCGTGGCCAGCAGGTCAGGGGAGGTGACTCTGCCCCTCTACTCCACTGTGGTGAGACCCCACCTGGAGTCCTGCATCCACCTCTGGAGTCCTCAGCACAGGAAAGACATGGACCTGTTGGAGCTGGTCCAGAGAAGGGCCATAAAATGATCAGAGGGGTGGAACACCTCTGCTGTGAGGAAAGGCTGAGAGAGTTGGGGGTGTTCTTCCAGGAGAAGAGAAGGCTCCAGGGAGATCTTATTGTGGCCTTTCAGTAAAGGGGGCCTGTAAGAAAGATTGGGACACTTTTTAGCAGGGGCTGTAGCGATAGGACAAGGGGTGATGGTTTTAAACTAAAAGAGAGCAGATTCAGACTAGTTTAAGGAAGAAATTTTTTGGAATGAGGGTGGTGAAACACTGTCCCAGGTTGCCCAGAGAGGTGGTAGAAGCCCCGGAAACATTCAAGGGCAGTCTGGATGGGGCTCTGAGCAACCCAGTCTCATTGAAGATGTCCCTGCTCAGTGCAGGGGGTTGGACTAGATGGTCTTTAAAGGTCCCTTCCAACCCAATTATTCTTTTCCGATGCTCTCCTGCCCAGCAGCCACACTGTTCATCACCCTCACTGTAATAGGTAGTAAACTGTTTGTTCAT